ACAAGCATCACTATTTGATTCTTTTACTGTGAAATAGTATTTTGATGTGGGGATATACTTTCTTGTTTGTTTCTTAAATTAATTAAATACTGCAGTGGCTTCATCTTGGATCACGGCAACCTCCATCTCCCAGGTTCAAGCCATTTTCCTGCGTTAGTCTTACAAGTAGCTGGAACTACAGGTATGTGCCATCATGCCCGGCTGATTTTTGTATTTTTTAGTAGAAACGGGGTTTCATCATATTGGAGAGGCTGGTCTTAAATTCCTGACCTCATGATCCTCCCGCCTCTGCGTCCTAAAGTGCTAGGATTGCAAGCGTGAGTCACTGTGCCTGGCCATGCTTTCTGTTTATTTACCAGCTGATGGACAGTTGGATTGTTTCCACTTTTTCAGTTCTTATGAATAATGTCACTGTGAACATTTGTGTTCAAGTCTTTGTGTGATCATATGTTTTCATTTTCTTTCATTGGATACCTAGGAATGGAATTGCTAGATAATACGGTAAACTTATGTTTAACATTTTAAGAAACTGCCATATTTTCCAAAGTGGCTGCATCATTTTATCTTACCACCAATAATATATGAAGGCCAACAATTTATGTGTCTTTCTCCATATTCTCATCAATTTATGTTACTGCACGACTTTTAAATTATAGCCATTTTAGTGGGTGCGAATAGTATCTTACTTGGTTTTAACGTGAATTTCCCTAAAGATTAATAATGTTAAGCATCTTTTTAATGTGCTTATTAGCCATTTATGTAAACAGTAAAATGTTTATTCAAATCTTTTGCCTACTTCTTTTAGGCTAGTCAAATGAATCAATGGGAGTGGAGAAGGGTTTTGCCCGTTTTTAATTGGATGTTTTTTTCTTTTTTCTTTTTTTTTTTTTTTTTTTTTTGAGATGGAGTTTCACTCTTCTTACCCAGGCTGGAGTGCAATGGTGCGATCTCGGCTCACCGCAACCTCCGCCTCCCGGGTTCAGGCAATTCTCCTGCCTCAGCCTCCTGAGTAGCTGGGATTACAGGCACGTGCCACCATGCCCAGCTAATTTTTAGTATTTTTAGTAGAGACGGGGTTTCACAATGTTGACCAGGATGGTCTCGGTCTCTTGACCTCTTGATCCACCCGCCTCGGCCTCCCAAAGTGCTGGGATTACAGGCTTTAGCCACCGCGCCCGGCTGTTTGTTTCATTTTTATCAAACTGTAAGAGTTCTATATATACTATGGATACAGGTTATTTTTTCTTTCTTTTATTTTTTTTTCTTCTTTTTTTCTGGTCTCTGAGTACCACAGGTTATTGATCAGATACAGGATTTGAAAATGTTTTCTCACAGCCTGTGGCTTCTCTTTTTACTTTTAAAAAGTTTATCTTTATTGTTTTAATTTTTTTGTAGAGACAGGGTCTCACTATGTTGTCCAGGTTGGTTTTACACTCCTGAGCTCAAGTGGTCCTTCCACCTTGGCCTCCCAAAGTGCTGGGATTACAGGTGTAAGCCACTGTACTTGGCTTCTTTTCCCTTTCTTAATGCATCTTTTATAGCACAAGTTTGAAATTTGGATGAAGTCCAATTTATCAGGTTTTTTTTTTTTCTTTTATGGTCATGTTTTTGGTGTTGTATCTCAAAAATCCTGCTCAACACAAGTTTGCAAAGATTTTTCTCCTGTATTTTCTTCTAAAAGTTGTGTATTTTTAGCTCTTACATTTAGATCTCTGATTCATTTTGAGTTAACTTCTTGGTTATGGTGTGAGGTAAGGGTTCCGTATCAATTTTTTTGCTTTCAGTAACTTATTTAAAAGGATTTTTTTTTTTTTTTTGAGACAGAGTTTCACTCTTGCCCAGACTGAATTGCAATGGCATGGTCTCGGCTCACTGCAACTTCCACCTCCTGGGCTCAAGCAATGGGTCATGTCTGTAATCCCAGTACTTTGGGAGGCCAAGGCTAGTGGATCACCTGAAGTCAGGAGTTCAGACCAGCCTGGCCAACTTGGTGAAACCCCTTTTCTACTAAAAATCAGCCAAGTGTGGTGGTGGGCACCTGTAGTCTCAGCTACTCAGGAGGCTGAGGCAGGAGAATCATTTGAACCTGGGAGGCGGAGATTGCAGCAAACTGCAATCTGGTAGAGGAGGTAAATGTGTTCTCTGACCTTATGAAGTGTTTCATTCCCAAATTTCTCAATAACTAGCTGTGTGACTTTGTGAATAGTATGTGACTTCTTTTTTTTTTTTTTTTTTTTTTTTGAGATGGAGTTTTGCTCTTGTTGCCCAGGCTGGAGTGCAATGGCCTGATCTCAGCTCACCACAACCTCCACCTCCCTGAGGGTTCAAGGGATTCTCCTGCCTCAGCCTCTGAATAGCTGGGATTACAGGCATGTGCCACCACACCTGGCTAATGCTGTATTTTTAGCAGAGACTGGGGTTTCTCCATATTGGTCAGACTGGTCTCAAAGTCCCGACCTCAGGTGATCCACCTGTGTCAGCCTCCCAAAGTGCTGGGATTGTAGGTATGAGCCACAGTGCCTCGCCTAGTATGTGACTTCTTTAAGCCTGTTTTCTGATTTGTAAGATGACGATTGTAAAGTAGCTACCTTATTTAATTTTGACAAGTATTAAATAAAGTACACAACGTAAGGGCAACTACTATTTTGCATAATAATTATTCAGAGTGGTATTATTATAAGTTGTTTAACCTACTAGGTAAGATGGAATTATCCTGTATTATTCAGCCTCAGCTTCCTCTTAGTACCTTATTAATGATTCTGAGTAATCACTGAGAGACAGAGAATATTTCTTTTTAAAATTTTTAGATTTGTTTATTATAAAGGCACTACATGTAATAGAGTAAAAAACTGCAGAAGGATATACAACAAAAAGTACAAATTCCCCCACCCATAACACACACCCAACTCATTCTTCAGGGGCAATCACTGTAACCAGTTCTGTTTCTCCTTCTAGAATAGTCTTTTATTTTTTATTTTATTTATTTATTTTTTAGAGATGGGATCTCCCTGTGTTGCCCAGGCTGGAGTGCAGTGGCTATTCACAGGCACGATCCCACTACTGATCATCACGGGAGTTTTAAACTGCTCCGTTTCCGACCTGGGCTGTTCACTGCTCCTTAGGCAACCGGGTGGTGCCCCGCTACCAGGAGGTCACCATATTGATGCTGCACTTTAGTGCAGACACCTGATCGGCATAGCGCACTACAGCCCAGAACTCTTGGACTCAAGCGATCCTCCAGGCTCCGCCTCCCGAGTAGCTGGGGCTATAGGCACGCGCCACCGCGCCTGGCTAGAAAAGTCTTATGCATATAAAAGTGTGTGTGTGTGTGTGTGTGTGTTTGTGTGTGTGTGTGTGTGTGTATGCACAGCCTTAGAAAACAAACAGCACTTTCATGTCCTTTGCAGAGACATGGATGAAACTGGAAACCATCATTCTCTGCAAACTAACACAGGAACAGAAAATCAAACACTGCATGTTCTCACTCATAAGTGGGAGTTGAGCAATGAGAACACATGGACACAGGGAGGGGAACATCATACACCAGGGACTGTGGGGGAGGTGGGGGGAAAGGGAAGGAAGAGCATTAGGACAAATACTACATGCGGGTCTTAAAACCTAGATGGCAAGTTGATAGGTGCAGCAAACCACCATGGCACATGTATACTTTTGGAACAAACCTGCACATTCTGCACTTGTATCCCAGAATTTTTTTTTTTTTGAGACGGAGTTTCGCTCTTCTTACCCAGGCTGCAGTGCAATGGTGCGATCTCGGCTCACCGTAACCTCCGCCTCCTGGGTTCAAGCAATTCTCCTGCCTCAGCCTCCTGAGTAGCTGGGATTACAGGCATGCGCCACCATGCCCAGCTAATGTTTTGTATTTTTAGTAGACATGGGGTTTCACCATGTTGACCAGGACGGTCTCGATCTCTCGACCTCGTGATCCACCCGCCTCGGCCTCCCAAAGTGCTGGGATTATAGGCTTGAGCCACCACGCCCGGCCTTGTATCCCAGAATTTAAAGTAAAAAAAAGAAAGGGGGCCATGCTCGGTGCCTCATGCCTGTAATCTTAGCACGTTGAGAGGCCAAGATGAGAGGATCACCTGAGGTCAGAAGTTCGAGACCCACCTCTACTACAAAAGAGAAACCCCGTCTCTACTATAAAAATACAAAATTAGCTAGGCATGGTGGCACATGCCTGTCATCCCAGCTACTCGGGAGGCTAAGGCAGGAGAATCACTTGAACCTGGGAGGCAAAGGTTGAGGTGAGCTGAGATCGTACCGTTGCACTCAGCCTGGGCAACAAGAGCAAAACTCCATCTCAAAAAAAAAAAAAAAAAAAAAAAAAAGAAAGAAAGAAAAGAAAAAGCACAAAGAATTAGACACTGCCAGTAGGTTATCACAGAGCATTTTCACTTAATAGTGTACATCTGAGAGCAGTCCAAGAGGAACATAACTTGTTCTTACTTAGAATGAGTATTTTCACATTTTCTCAATACACAGTTAAACACCACCACCACCACCACCACCACCAAAATGCTCTCAAACTTTTGGAAAAAGTTGATGGCTACGCCCTCCTTCCTTTGCCGCCCCCATACTCTGCAGCCTGGGCTCTTGCGGCTTTCAGCAGCCAGGGCCTGGCACCTGCCCACCCACATTTTCTTGGCCTACAGCCGGCTGTGGTCAAACCAGCAGCAGAAAGGGAGGGTGGGGGAGCGAAGAAGGAAGAGAAAGCACATTTTCCACGAGTAGTTGAGAAAGAGCTGCAGGAGTCATATCGACACATAAGGCATAGCTCTGAAAGTGTTTTATTACAGGCGTTTACACAAAAGGTATCAGGAAGAATGTTCCATAAGGGTCTAGAAGGCAGTGGGTGCGGGAACATCAGGCTTGTGAACTGATGGTGACAGCTGCATCTGAAAACATGATTGGTGGATGTGGGCAGTGAGAAGGGGCTTGGGGTCCCAAGGGACAAACCTGCTCCCTAGAAATGCAGCAAGCGGCTTGCACAGTGGCAGTATCGTAGCCAATGAGGTTTATCTGAGACACGATTACTGCTAATTGAAAACCTTTCCTAATAGTCTGCCATGATGACTTCAAATATAGTCGGCATTGGCAATTTTTGGCAGTCTCTAAGGGGACTGAATTACAAAAATAAAAATAATAAAATAATAAAAAGAAATGCAGCGAGCTAGGTTTGCAGGGGAGGGGTGAGGGGGAAAGAGAGCGATTTCCTTAGAGAAGTGCAATAGCAAGATTGGGCCCAGTGCCAGATGAAGGACGAGGGAACGCTCTGCCCTTCCTCACTGAAAACTAAACCCCACTTCCTCCATTTCCCACCTGCTTGTTTCTCTATCCACCTCCCCACTCTCAGCCCGATTGCCTGACTTCACATATGTGAGGGGCTGCAGCTAGAGCTCAGCCTTCAGCTAAGGCTCCAGATGACTGACATCTCTCCCCACACACAGGCTTCTCAGTGGGTGGACGCTAAGACAAGTAAAACCTGCAGTAGAGATTCTCATGACCTTGGGAGATGGAGAAACAGATCTTTGATCTTTGCCTCTTTCCTTTGGTTATTCATTTAATCTTGGTTCTCTGGGTTGTGCCTACCTCCATCTAAGCCAGAAAATATAGAATGGTTTCGAGCTGCTAAATTAGGCTGTTAGCAGGGCAAGCATCTCAGCCTGCAGGCCTGGCCCAGAGCTAACACCCAAGAAAGGAAAAACCCTCCTGGGGCGGGGCTTTCCTAGACATAAAGCTTTCCCATGCCTGTAAGCAGGGGAGCTCCAGCCAAGATTATATTGGGCAGGTAATAAAATTAAGGGCAATAAAACCAGATAAACCACCTCATTAGCAGCAGTTTACTGGTAAAGCCATTTCAACAAGAAGAGGAAAGGTGGAAGACTCAAATTCTTTGTCAAGTTCTCTCCAACAGCCTCCTCTGAAAAGGAACATTCTTTTCAGGAGTGTTGGCTTGGAAGAGAGGGTGTATGTACATTTATCCAACACCTGCTAGGACCAAGTGAGTGGTTCAGAGAAGAGCCTCTGGAATTTGAACCTGTCACTTGATTGCTACTGAGAGATCACCAGCTAAACTGTTTGACTTTTCTCAGAACTTTTTGTTTGTCTGTTTTGTTTTGTTTTGTTTTGAGACAGAGTCTTGCTCTGTCGCCCACGCTGGAGGGCAGTGGGCTGATCTCGGCTGCCACTTCTGCTCCCAGGTTCAAGCGATTCTCCTGCCTCTGCTTCCCAAGTAGCTGGAATTACAGGCGTGCACCACCAGACCCGGCTAAATTTTTTATTTTTAGTAGAGACTGGATTTCACCATGTTGGTCAGGATGGTCTGGATCTCCTGACCTCATGATCCACCTGCCTCGGCCTCCCAAAGAGCTGGGATTACAGGTGTGAGCCACCACACCTGGCCACTCAGAAGTTTTTTTACCAGTCATGTAAATGAGAGAGTGGAGGTCCTGTACCAGTCTATGAAGGATCAACTGATCATTGAGTGTTGACTTCCACATTAAAAGTCACACATAGTTTCCAAAAAGAAAAAAGAAAAAAAATGACACTACCTATTTTCTAAAAATGGAAACATTTTCTTTTTCTTTTTCTTTCTTTCTTTTTTTTTTTTTTTTTTTTGAGACAGAGTTTCACTCTTGTTGCCCAGGCTGGAGTGCAGTGGTGCAATAATTTTGGCTCACCACAACCTCCACCTTCTGGGTTGAAGTGATTCTGCTGCCTCAGCCTCTCAAGTAGCTGGGATTACAGGCATGCGCCACTACAGCCAGCTAATTTTTGTATTTTTAGTAGAGACGGGGTTTCTCCATGCTGGACACACTGGTTTTGAACTCCCGACCTCAGGTGATCTGCCCACCTTGGCCTCCCAAAGTGCTGGGATTACAGGTGTGAGTCACCTCGTCTGGCTGGAACCATTTTCTTAACCGTATACATCATGGTGATGTTATGCTGCTTTTAAGGGATTGAGAAGGAAAAACATGAAAAGCAATTAGATTCTCAAAATTGCCTGTACCTGCTTGGGTGCCATGGCTCATGCCTGTAATCTCAGCACTTTGGGAGGCTGAGGTGGGAGGATTGCTTGGGGCCAGGAGTTTAAGACCAGCCTGGGCAACATAGCGAGACCCTTTCTCTATTTATAAAAAAAGATGCCTTATGCACATCACACTTTACCAAAGTATATAAACCTACACTCACTGTGTATGTATATTTACACTGTATATTTACCTGTATATGGCAAGATAGCTGAATTAGCATGCACTTCTAACTGGCTTTTATTTTTTTAAGCATTGGCAAAATATTTTAATAAATAAATACTTGCCCTTGTCAATTTTATTTCTATAAAACTTCAAATCAAATTATATTTCTATAAAACATCAAATATCATTTGGTGATTGAGTTTCTAAATATCAAATACAACGCCCTCCTAACAATTTTAAACTATTTGCTAACTAAGAAGAGGCACGAAGTGTTCCATGACTGTATTATTCTTGGGAGGCAGGCTACGGTGGTGTGAGCAGCCACCCCTTTAGGACATATCATGCTGGTGAACCACTGATTCATGACACGCTGCCAGGAATGGCCATCATCCAAGTCCCCGGGCAAGTTCAGAAGGGCTAGTCAGATGTTTAAATTCCTGCCTTTGTCAGAATCCTAGGGATTATTGTGATACCTTTTCCCCCTCTCCCATCTATATCCAATCTCTCAGCTGGTTTCACTTCCTAAACGCCTCTCCAATCTGTCCGCTCCTCATTTGCTCTACCACCACTTTCCTAGGCCAAACTGCCTGGATTATTACAAAATCTTTTCAGCTGGGCTACCTCCATCCACGTTTGTCCCACTCCAATCAAGTCCCCACACAGTGGCCAGGTTGATTTAAAAAGCAAGCACAAGCTGGGTGAGGTGACTCGCGCCTATAGTCCCAGCACTTTGGGAGGCCAAGGCAGGTGGATCACCAGAGGTCAGGAGTTTGAGACCAGTCTGGCCAACATGGTGAAACCCTATCTCTACTAAAAATACAAAAATTAGCTAGGCATGATGGTGCATACCTGTCATCCTAGCTACTCGGGAGGCTCAGGCAGGAGAATCACTCAAACCGGAAATGTGGAGGTTGCAGTGAGTTCAGATCATGCCATTGCACTCCAGTATGGGCAACAAGAATGAAACTCCATCTCAAGGAAAAAAAAAAAAAAAAGTGAGCACGGACCTGAGTGGTCTTTCCTCACCCTTCCAGACCCAGTGGCTTCCCCTTGCTCTCAGATGGAAGATCAATATCTGCACCTGCCCAGGGGCCATGAATGAACTGGCCTCTCTCCAACTGGCCAGTCTCATCCTGTACAGTACTTCACATCAGTATTCTACCACTTCCTCCATGACATTGATCTGGTTATGGCTCCTTATGTCTCATGAAATTTGGGGAAGACTCACATACCTGAATTTTCCCCAAAGTTCCTTAGGTGGTTCTGAACCACTACTATGGTTAAAAGCATTAATGGCTAGACTGGCTCTTCCTGTCTGTGCCAGGGGGCATATGGTGCATGCCGAGCCACAGAGATGCTCAGGCTGTGCCCACAGGATGACCGAGTGGGAGACAGCAGAACCAGTGGTGGCAGAGAGCCCGGGGATCAAGCTCTTTGGGAAGTGGAGCTTCGATGACGTGCAGATCTATGGCATCTCCCTGCAGGATTACACTGCAGTGAAGGAGCAGTATGCCAAGTACCTGCCTCACGGCACAGAGCGACATGCCACCAACGCTTCCGCGAAGCTCAGTGCCCCATCGTGGAGTGCCTCACTTACTCCATGATGATGCACGGCCGCAACAACCGCCAAGAAGCTCATGATTGTGAGCATCGTCAAGCATGCCTTCGAGATCATCCAGCTGCTCACAGGCCACAACCCTCTGCAGATCCTGATGAACGCCATCATCAACAGTGGCCCCCAGGAGGATTCCACATGCGTTGGGCAAGCGGGGACTGTGAGATGACAGGCTGTGGACGTGTCCCCATTGTACAGCGTGAATCAGGCCATCTGGCCGCTGTGCACAGGCGCTTCTGAGGCTGCCTTCCGGGAACATCAAGAACATTGCGGAGTGCCTGGCAGATGAGCTCATCATTGCTGCCAAGGGCTCCTCTTATTTTCCCGGTTGCTGCCCAATAAACCTGCCTTTTGGGGTGGCCCCACAAAAAAATAAAAAATAAAAAAAGATAGCTAGACTGAAGATGGAGCCAAGTTGAAACTCGCACCCCAGGCTCTTCTGATAGCATCAGGATTTGACTTAGGTTTAAACGGCGGGCCAGGAAAAATTAAAAATGGCAAGTCATGGGGCAAGCTTTGCAGAGCAGGTCACTGCTGTTCCTTCTGCTATCCCAAAAGGGTTGAAGAGTGAATTACACATAAACCACTAGGTAAGTATCTTGTTTTTACCTAAATACTTCTAGATACTTTCTAGAAATATAAACTAAAAGAAGCAACCATGAGACTGAGGATGCATTCACAAAAGCTCTGGAACATTACAGATGAAGCAGATGGTTACTTTATAATAAAAAACTCAGTAGAAAATGTCTTTCTCTGGAGGAATAGAAGTTCGTGTTTGTAGACTCTGTATAATCATGTTGTAACGGAGCTCGTTAAATGGATTCAGACGAGCTATGGGTCGAATGCTGTTCTAGAAACTGGTAACTAGGAAAGGCTAAGCCTCATCAAATAGTATTTATTGATCTTTTCCAATTCCATTATAGAAACATTCCAATATATTGTCAAATTCACTTTTCTGCAAATATCTCACAAATTGCATTTCAAAAATGTGATTGATTGGCCGGGTGTGGTGGCTCACGCCTGTAATCTCGGCACTTTGGGAGGCTGAGGCAGGTGGATCACGAGGTCAGGAGTTCAAGACCAGCCTCATCAACATGGTGAAACCTGGTCTCTACTAAAGAAAAAAAAAAATACAAAAATTAGCTAGGCGTGGTGGCAGGTGCCTGTAATCCTAGCTACTCAGGAGGCTGAGGCAGAGAATTGCTTGAACCCAGGAGGCAGAGGTTGCAGTGAACAGAGACCACATCACTGCCCTCCAGCCTGGGCGACAGAGCAAAACCCTGTCTCAAAAAAATAAATGGTCGGGGGGTATTGATTTTATTTGTCACTGTGACTTATAGCACATACTGAGTCCTCAGCCAGCTGTGGGAGGATATGGCTAGTTTATTCATTTATTCTTTTTTCTTTTCTTTTTCTTTTTTTTTTTTTGAGACGGAGTTTCGCTCTTGTTACCCAGGCTGGAGTGCAATGGCGCGATCTCGGCTCACCGCAACCTCCGCCTCCTGGGTTCAGGCAATTCTCCTGCCTCAGCCTCCTGAGTAGCTGGGATTACAGGCACGAGCCACCATGCCCAGCTAATTTTTTGTGTTTTTAGTGGAGATGGGGTTTCACCATGTTGACCAGGATGGTCTCGATCTCTTGACCTCGTGATCCACCCACCTCGGCCTCCCAAAGTGCTGGGATTACAGGCTTGAGCCACCACGCCCGGCCTTTCTTTTATTTTTTTATGGAACAAGAGCAGTCCTATTGCAATAAGGATATGGCTAGTTTAGATTCCCATCCGAGTTGCATGTGACAGTATCTGGCATCTTTTCAATAACTGCAGTCATAATTCCCAACATTACTTGGAGAGCAAAGCACAGGAGGAAATAAATCAACTTTTAATGTCAGGATATCACACCCTTTCTAACTTTTTTTGGACATGAATGAGGCAGTAATTGTATAATTAACCTTGAACTTATCACTTTATAGTCAGATGATTACTTTACAAAGAAGCTCTATCTGTAATGCATAAGTTTATTTAATTTTTTTAAAAAGAGCTTTCTATACTAGAAAAAAAAAATCTTAAAATAATGATTATCATCTGGGCACGGTGGTTCTCGCCTGTTATCTCAGCACTTTGGGAGGCCAAGGCGGGAGGATCACTTGAGCCCAAGAGTTCAAGACCAGCCTAGCCAACACGGTGAAACTTCATCTTATAAGAAAATAAACAAATAAAAATAAGAAAAGATAATTTTGTGTAAGTAATATATGTGAAAGGTCCCAAATGTAAAATGTTCAAGAGAACATATAATGAAAAATATGCCTAACTCCTATCCTCATGACCTCAGCCATCTAATTCTCTTCCCTGGAGGCAAACACAGTGACGAGTTTTTTTGTTTATCTGTCCAGAGACGTTCTATGCATTTACATATACACACACATTCTTTTTTAAAACCCACCTGGTAGCATATCTTACATAATGTTGGCTTTTTTGTCTATTTTTAAAATAAGATATGCTGTTGTTCCACATTAGTACATAGAGAGGGGCCTAATTTAATTGTTAATAGCTATGTTTGATGCAATAATTTCTTCGTTTTTCCTTTCTCTTTCTTTTTCTTTTCTTTCTCTTTTTCTTTCTTTCCTTCTTTTTCTTTCTTTCTTTCTTTCTTGTTTTTTCCCCCTTCCTTCCTTCCCTCCTTCCTTCCTTCCTTCTTTCTTTCTCTATTTCTGTCTTTTGCTGTAGAGAAAGAGTTCCACGTGAGGCTGGCTCAAGCGGGAGAACTGGAGTTGTCATTTAAATCAGTCTCCCCATTGGCCAGGTGGCTCACGCCTGTAATCCCAGCACTTTGGGAGGCCGAGGCGGGTGGATCACGAGGTCGAGAGATCGAGACCATCCCGGTCAACATGGTGAAACCCCGTCTCTACTAAAAAAAATACAAAACATTAGCTGGGCATGGTGGCACGTGCCTGTAATCCCAGCTACTCAGGAGGCTGAGGCAGGAGAATTGCCTGAACCCAGGAGGCGGAGGTTGCGGTGAGCCGAGATCGCGCCATTGCACTCCAGCCTGGGTAACAAGAGCGAAACTCCGTCTCAAAAAAAAAAAAAAAAAAAAAAAAAAAAAAAATCAGTCTCCCCAAAGGCTCAGAGGTTAGGATTTTTATGGGCAACTTGGTGGGTAGGGGGCTAGGTAATGGCTGCTGCTGATTGGTTGAGGATGAAATCAAAGGGGTATGGAAACCTATCCTTATGCACTGAGTCTGCCTTTGGGAGGAGCCACAGGACCAGTTGAGTTATGAGTCATGAGTCCAGCTGGGGTCATTCTGAAAAACATCTCAAAAAAACAAAAAACAAAAAACAACAATCTTAGGTTCTACAATAGTGATGTTATCTATAGGAACAATTGGGAAAGTCACAAATCTTGTGACCTCTGGCCACATGACCCCTGAGCAGTAAGAAATTAGAGAAATTATGCCTTGGCTGGGTTTGGGGCTCATATTTGTGATCCCAGCACTTTGGGAGGCCAAGGCAGGAGGACTGATTGAGGCCAGGTGTCTGAGACCAGCCTGGGCAATATAGTAAGACCTCATCTTTATTGGAAAAAAAAAAAAGAAAAGGAAGAAAAGAAGAAAGAAAAGAAACTATGCCCACATCTTAGCAGAGACCAGGCTCCTCCCATAACCCTACTCTTATGACCTTTCATTAGTCTTACAAAGGCAGTCTTTACTTCCTGAGCAAAGAAAAGAATGGGTTAGTTTTAGGGAGGGATTATTACTATCCTTGCTTTCAAGTAATCTACAAACTAAATTCCTCCCAAAGTTAGCTAGGCCTATGCTCAGGAATGACTAAAGACTGTGGAGGTGAGAAGCAAGACGGAAGCAACTATGTTAGGTTTCTATTACTGACATAATTTTGCAAAGGTGATTTCAAATCATCCACTGAGTTTCAGCATGCCTCAGTCCTGAGGTGTGAGCTGCAGAGATGGGAAAATGCTCATGACTGTTCTCCCTGCAGGACAGCAGGCACTGGGTGTAGTTGGGGTAGAAGTTGTCCCCAGGGTAAGAGAAGTAAAACCATCTTGCAGTTGTGTGTGTGTGTTCATGGGTACCTGGTCTGGGTTCCAAGGTATGTCTAACAAAAGCATTAGTGCTGTTATCTACAGCTTTAGTGACTGTAAGACAAATAAGGAACCCTAACATAAGGAGTGAAAGTCCTAGCTTCAGGAGTCCTTGTAGAAGTGACGAGAAGTCTTCCTCTTTTTTTCTTTTTCTTCTTCTTCTTCTTCTTCTCCTCCTCCTCCTCCTCCTCCTCCTCCTCCTCCTCCTCCTCCTTCTTCTTCTTCTTCTTCCCCTTCCCCTTTCCCTTCCCCTTCCCCTTCTCCTTCTCCTTCCTCTTCCTCCTCTTCCTCTTCCTCTCCTTCTCCTTCTTCTCATTCTTCTTCTTCTTCTTCTTCTTCTTCTTCTTCTTCTTCTTCTTCTTCTTCTTCTTCTTCTTCTTCTTCTTCTTCTTCCCCTTCCCCTTCCCCTTCCTCTTCCTCTTCCTCCTCTTCCTCTTCCACCTCTTCCTCTTCCTCTTCCTCTCCTCATTCTCATTCTCCTTCTTCTTCCTCTTCCTCTTCTTCTTCTTCTTCCTCTCCTTCTTCCTGCTTCCTCCTCCTCCTCCTCCTCCTCCTCTTCTTCCTTTCTTCTTCTTCTTCTTTCTTCTTCGTCTTTTCTTCTTGTCCTTCTCTTGAGACAGGGGCTCACTCTGTTGCTGAGGTGGGAATGCACTGGCGTAATCATGGCTCAATGTAGCCTTGACTTCCTGGGCTAAAGGGATCTTCAGCCTCCGAATAGCTGAGACTACAGGCGCATGCCACCAAGCCCAGCTGTCTTCGATTTTTTGTAGAGACAAGGGTCTCCTGTGTTGCCTAGGCTTGTCTTGAACTCCTAGGCTCAAGCAATCCTCCTGCCTCAGCTTCCCCAAGTGCTGAGATTATAGGAGTGAGCCACTGTGCCCAGCTTGATCTGAAGTCTTAAGGGATCCAGGTGAATGACCCTGAGAACTAATTAGATGTGGAGTCATCAACAGAGACTCAAAATCAATGCACAAGGCTGAAATCTAATAACAGGTAGATTATAGTTTTTCCTAAAACATATTTTTTTCTCTTCAGTTCTCCATGTTTAATCAAAGACAAATCATAATAGGACCAATTCATTTGCAAAATAAATTTCAGTCTTAGTGTACTTGGCCTAATTATTTGTATAAAGTGCAACAAGAATAATTATTTGCCATTTAGGCACTTTTTAAAAAAAAAATTGACTTTGCTGAAACTCTTTCATAAGAAATCTCAAATTAGACCTTTTAAAAGCCTCTTGAACTGAGCTAAGGATTTATTTGTGTCTGCAGATACCTGTATGAATT